GTCTTTGTTTTGTATCAGACAACAAGTAAATGATGTTATTGTGGACCTAGGGTTGGACAATATTTCTCACCTTGTAAACCTTTTGTCGTTGTTTTGTATCAGACAACAAGTAAATGATGTTATTGTGGAATTAGCATTGGGTATATGATGTTATTGTGGAATTAGCATTGGGTATTCTATCTCACCTACTGAACTCTTTGTTTTTTTTGTATCCGACAATTAGAACATGATTCTATTGTGGATTGGGTGTTGTACAGTCATTCTCAGCTTCTAAACGTTCACCGACTTATAGGGATCGGAAGACGGGCTTCGGGCGTCAATGTCACACGGCTGTAGTAGAGGGATGCGCTGGGGCCTTCTGGTATGTCTCTTGGGAAAGTATACGCACTATGCGAGCCTGCACTCATACTTCGTATCGGATTCGATACTGGTCGAATTGGTGCGACAAGTGGATTCTACATAAAAAGCGACATAGGTTTTTCAAAGGGGTGTACGTCAAACTAGCATTTCCTCACACTGTTGTTTCGTTCTGTCTCACACTTTCTAAACCTCAGCCGCTGTCGATACTTGTGGTTTTGGTGTCGTTCCTGGTGATTGCTCTCGCCATCACAATGAGTGTTGCATTGGCCGATCTCTGCGACAGGCCGGACGCATTCATCAAATCACGTCTTTCCACCGACAATTTAGAGTAAGTATTCTGAGCACCAAGACCCGCTGTGGTATGCTGTACCTTTGTTCGGAACGGTAGTGGTGAAGAGTTTTCAGTGTTGTTTGATTTATCATAGCTCACACTGCTTTCAGCACATGGTAAAGCCAATTGAGCACTGCGCTTGTGTGACGGGCGCTTTTAAACCACCAACTTCGAACTCGAACTCTACAGATATTTGGGATACTATATAGACGACTGTGTGGGTGCCAACCCTAATCTGCAACTGCTCGAAGAGAAAGGTGTGTGGCTGGTACAGGCAGAAGGTATCTTGGCACTGTCTAATCTGACTGCTGAGACCTGTGCGCCGGGCGTTCGAGATGAATACCGTGCCTTATTTCAGGAACTCAATACAGATGTAGTCAAGGTAAGGATGCTATAATATCTATGCCTGTTGTTGGTTGCGGTGTTAAGGTTATTTGTGTGTTGTGCTTTTTCTTGCCTGAAATATAGGTCTTCACGTGGGAACGTACTCTTCATCATTCGTCCCCATTTTTGCTTCCCTCTGCCCATGATGTCCACTCGGTTGGTGCGTACCGCAATGTTAATTTTCTTGCCTCTCTGTCTCTACTTAGGGTAATGCACTGCTCGATACCGCCCGTGAGATGGTCTCGTGTCGAGTCATCAATGGGCTTTATAACCTAGCTGTGGATGAGGTAGGTTTGAGTGACAGCATTTCTATGTTTACCAAGCTGGTGTTTATGGAGGTGAAATACTTGACAAATTCACCAAAGATCAATTTTCGACTATAAATTCTAGTCTGTGAGAAAAACAACAGTGTTCGGATCGCAAGGCTCTCAGCATTGCCTGAGAGAGCCCGCGTTGTTACTTCCCGTCTATTCGCGATTCACGTGACACAAAGTATCGTTATGTCGCTTCGTCGTCTCCTGGTGACCTAATCGGATTCGTTCAAAACTTGCATTAGGGGGGGGTTTTTTTCTTCTAAACCCTAAACGCTAAAAACCCTAAAACTAGGGTGTGTGCTCCGATGCACTGGACGGGATGATTCTGCTGTGGATAGGATTGCTACTCTCCACTTTGGCCATGGCATTTGCGATGATGGTCTACACGCGCTTTGTGGTCACCTCGGTGGTCGATGTGATAGTATTCAGGCGCAGTCAATCACAAGTATGTGGGTCCTTTGGATTGTCATCGATTTGGATCGAAATACCTCTCTCTCTTTTTCTCTCAACTTCCATCAACAGAGGAAATCAGCGCTGGCGGCCGTCTCATTATATCGCATAGATGCTTTCTCACAATGCACATATTTATCCCGACGTCAAATCGCTTAGTATCAATACATACATTTCTTTCACCTACACAGATGAGTTTACCGAGTGAGGCGCGTTCAGCGAACGCTTCCATGACCAACGCTTCCATGATCAACACTGCCAGCGGTATGCAATCGATTGGTGGCAGTGCCGACTTATTCCGCCGACAGGCTTCCGTGAATGACGCAAACCAGTCGTTCATCAAAGCGTACGGCAAGTCTATCTCTTATACACCGGACAATACGAATGTGCGAGCGATAGACATACCCGAGGGGGATGGAGCCAGTTTCCAGGTTAGTACCGAAGTATACCCTAAATGTACTGGTACGTGAAGTTTTATCTGCAAGCCGCGGTTTTGTATGCGTTGTGAGTCCTGTTCTCAAGATTGGATTATGCCAGTGCTCATGTCGGTACATCGAGCATATTGCCACTTCGAGCATATTGCCACATCCTTTACAGTGAATATTCATAGTTGCTCACAGATGTATGCGACCATTGTACGAAATTCAACAATCAGTCTGCAAGTGGACGTATTGCACAAGGGACTGCTGCATCAACTCGAACACACTATTCGCAAAGGCATTCTGGCAGTCTTCTTTCGAACCGCTATGTCCGAGATATGAACATAACCTTCGCGTACTTGTGCTAATGCGCCGTTTTGGATTGTCACAGGCATATGGCGACCCCGCAGTGTACCAAAACAACATCCCCGCGGCGCAGATCAACCACCAGCTGTACCCGGTTGGCCATCGTCTTGGATCTGTTCGACAATTCAGCTACACGCAAGGTAAGCACTCGACTTGCATTGAATACGCCCTGTTTATGGCACACTGAATCTGTGAGGTGCGTGGTCGTATGGAGGATGTTCTAATTATAGCATGTTGTACATATTCGGTATGCGGTATATGTCGTAGAAGCAATCCTTGCTACAATGCACTACGTCTATTTTATTTATAGCGTCCAATGAACTATACCTCATGGGGTATATGGTGCCTGTTCTAGATCTGATCCATCGGTAGTGCATTGCATTAGATTATCCAGAGTGCGGTTTGTACCAGTGGACTGATACCTCTTGCATTACACTGTGTCTGGTCGCACGACTGGTTGGGCTACACATATAATCGTGTGCGGTGTTGCTGTCTTCGCGGGGCGGGACTGCTTTTCTGTACGTCCAAGCCACAAAATCATTCTCTACGTACGGCTTCAGTCGCAGTTGATTGTGCAGTATTTGTGCCAGATACAACATGCTTTCCACGTGTTGATGATAACCCCATACACTTATTCTCATATGTCTCACCATATCCTCGTATTCTTAATGCGTCAATACTTTTATATTGTCTTACGATATTCTCGTATTCTCCACCCAATAGAAGTACCGCAGCGCCGAGGCAGTCAGGGTATGCAACCCCCAGGCTATGGGTCAAACCCGAATTTCTTAGAGTATTCCGAAGTCGATGATGAGTATCCCAGCACAAGCGGTGTCACTTTGGTGCATACTGAACTGGGACATGGATCAAGTGTCAGCGCGCGTAGTAGGGCGAACAGTCAGGGCGCTCTCATGGGCGGCAACCGGGGTTGAGCCATAGAGGTCTCTTTGATCGGTAGTGAAAGTGTAATCCAAATTGCTGATACTGAAAGTGCACTGCAGACTATTTATAATGAAATTGAAATGCAGTCTACTGATACACATATGGGGTGCGAGTGCCTCACCACCTACGAGTATAGACGAGCAATATGATCGGCGTCGGAGACTTCTATTGCATGAGGGATCACACACTACATCTGCACACACAGGAAAAATCGTGGTATGCTGCACCCGTTCAAACGCGGATGTACAATCACAAAGATCGAGATCGAGCACGGGTCTAATGTACCTTGTCGGCGTCAAGAGGAGATGTGGCGAAACGTACACACAGCGAGCACCTAATTATTATCAGCCGCATCATAGTGCTAGTACGGGCTAGGAGGCCACAAGGAGAGATTTATGGATCCACAACTTATTTTACATTCTATCTCTGAAATATTCTGTCGTCTCGAGGTCTGTCGGATTACCAATGCACTTTTAGATATACAATGCAGTATACTGGCAGACGAGGCTACGAACACGCCTGCTTTGCGCTGTGGCAGGAGGAAACCAAAATGTAGTAGGACATGTGAGGCCTGAGCGCTTTACTAGCGCATTGACTACCGGCCTTTCCGATATGACTCCACATTCGAAATGTATTCGAAAACTATACAATCATTACTAGAAACAATTTACTTAAACGATGATTGCCAGTTGAACCCTGAATGTGATTGCTAGAATCGAATCCTGAATTGATGGTATCAAATAAAAGGACTAATATTAAACAATTTCGACGTGCCTACTATAGCCTTACGAAGGAGGCCGTGAGTGTTTAATGCATTATATGTGTTAATGCAAGCCTTGCCTTGCAATCGTTTGGCAAGTACCATGCATACGTATTTTTATCCGGGAGACAACGGCTATACATGTTTAGTGCTTAACTCATGATCCATCGGGAGCTGCTACAGCTATGTCATGTATTGAGGGGGACTAGGGAATACCATAAATTAGAAATGGGATACTGTGTGTGATATACTCTTTTATAAATATTTACAATACTATTTTGTATGATGTAACTATATGCGAGTAGAATATTTGATGCATATGCATGCTGGATATGCAACCTACCAGGTACAATCTATCCATCTGGCTAAGCAAATAAAAGCGGCGTATGATGCATCGATCAGAATATATTGATGTATTTATAAGCATAAAGTTAAATATATTCTACAATTACATGCCATAGTTCTGCGCAACTTGGGTGTGCAGAAATCCGAGCATACACTGTGGCATCCATATACGATATTTCGTCGATAAATTATAGTATCAATCTATATTCTCTGGCATGGAGTGTCTAGCTTAATCCAAACATTCAAATGATGGGAGCAGTGCTGGTCATGGCGTACGTATCACAGAAGCGCACATACTCTATCTTCACCCAAGTCGGTGGTTAGTTTTTAGAGCTTAGTTGACTATTGTCAAATAATAGGTATAAACCTTGAGTGTATTGATACACATGCATCGCCGCGACTTCCATCGCTTGAATTGATGCCCATTGAAATTCTCGAATCATAATCATATATCAAGAGTATGAGGATATGATATGAGATGGATAGACATATCGGGAAATGACTATGAAACAACTTTCGGGACAATCTAAAAACGTGCGAGTTGAAATCCATCCAGGGATAACCATAGTGCGGTTAACTAATAGCACAAAGTATCATATAGTATAAATAGAGCGCACACTTAGATTATTGTCAATCAAACTACTACAAAGCGACATCCTACCGTTATCTGTGCAAGTTGGCAATTGTGGATGCTTTGTGTCAATGCCACAGAGTCGCAGACAGGTACAGGCCGCAATCACCAGTCTTGAAAGGTTGACATGTATACTCTTGCTATTGCACTTAAAAATCTGAACTCTGACAGACAACTGTTGATCAACCACAGAAGTTCAGCACTAAAAGCTCAGCATTTAGCGTATAGATCAGAACTACTTGCAATGCATATAGCATGCACTCAACACAGCAATTTTAATCTTTTCTCTTGTGTTCAATACAAAATACCCGACTGCCGCCAAATATTATATGTTACGACTAATCAGATACTTCTCAGCTATATGACTGACTACAGCTAAAATATCAAAGTTCTGAATGACTGGATACACCTAGCGGCTAGTTATTACTTACGTTGGATGAACCCACCAAAACACACAGTACACGAATTTCAAGCTCTATTATATTCGTTGGCCCTAATTTGTCGTAGAATGCGTGATTACAAGCCATGCTTTACTAAGTTAGGCACAACGACTATACTACCACAAAAGATTGGATTAAGATGATGTGCTGATAGTTGAGATATACAATCACAAGGGATTGGATCAGGGGTGACTAAAATTTATTGGATCAGAAGTGTAAATACCTGTTGGATCACTGGAGTTTGACTAATATTTCTTTTGGAGTATCTGTTCGTTTACGTTCGCTTACACAGTAAGTTCGACGCCCGTGAAGATATTTCGATTCAGAGTTGAATCTCGTTCTTCATCCAATCGCAAATACTGTTTAAAAAGAAAACAATCCAGAAGAGAAAGAGGGGCGTTAGGTATACGATACTTGAAAAGGGTGTCTGGCTATAGATGCGATGTACGCTTGCAGTCCAACTAGTCGATCTCTGTAGTCTACTTGCATACCTTGTAGTGTGAGTGGGGCGATTCCATGGTGCTCACTCGCTGTTGCTCGCCCAGAACACCATCGGCAACTACTTCAGCGATCCTCAGAGTGACCAAGAATGCCATCACAAAACAAGACACGACGATGCATGCGGCCAACAGTTGGAGTATCGGGTGTTTTCGGATGATGTGGAGCGATCTGAGAATCAATCCTTTATCGCCTGTTGATAACAAAGTTAGAGAATTGATAATAGAATGAGCACGTGTGGCGAATCAGGGGTTTGATAGTTGATCGGACATAAAAAGCGAACGCAATCAAATGCGCAATCGGTCATCCGAAGTAGTGAGCATGCACAACAATCATATATACTTACTTCCATCAAGAGAATCGAAGCTGTGGGTGGCTGCATTGTCATCTCCATAAATTGATAATATTTGAACAAACCAGCAGTCCTCACAGCCTCGCTGTGTGGCTTGGACCATTCCCATCTCTAGTCGAATTTCATTCCCGCTTCTGGTTATGATTGTGCTCTCTATTGTAGTCTGTAATAATGAAATAAACATGCGGACCATGAACATACACAAGAGAACCGTACAATACATTAACTGCTTGGCAGGTTAACACCTTAATACGTCCTCCTACTATAGCACTGGGCACTTTGGCTTGAGCAACATGAAGCTGGCTTGTATACGATTTTTCACATACCATATTATTTACTGATTTGATCGTCATGGGTTTAACACGCTCAAACTGGTTCAGAATGGGATGATCCTGGACGCTGTGGGCGAAAGGCTCGAAAGTTGACGAAGCGTCTCGCTTAAAGAAGCGGTACGCTAACGCGATATTTTCGGTACCATCAAGGTCTCCCTCAGGTGGATTTTGTCTGAGGTACATGAGTACTATTTTTTGCACGTTGGTTGGCGAGTAAATAGGCGATGGCACGAGAACTTCGGGCATCGATTCGTTCTCAATATCACTGACCATCCAGCAGTTCTGCAATGTGTAACACAAAAACATAATTAGTTCATTACTCCGCTTCTAAATATTACTCAAAATTGCCACACAGTTTTCACACGACATGCAGAATTGCGCAGCTTTCGAATGACACAATCATTGATACCTTGTTTTCGCCCTTTTTCATTTTGGATAAACTGAAGATTTTTGCGACGTAGGTGCCGTCATTCTGCACAACATGGCCTAACACCACTGCCTGTGTATCACTCTCGCTTATAATCTCCATGTACGATATTGCGGTGTGCACCAAAATGTAGTGTCGATCTCCAATCAAAAACATAAATCTGAGGATCGGGATAAAATCTATTTAGTATTTTCCAGATCCCAGGAGAATGTGTGCCGGGAGAATATCTACTTAATTTAGGTTTAACGAAGCATTTTCTATGACGTAAATAATGTACGAGGCGGATATGGAACAAAATCTTCCTAATTAGTACACAAAATCACAACACATAAAAGCACATATGAAGGCGATATTACAAAGACAAAAATATAACGTAAAGCACACATTTCGTGGGATCTTCTAAAATGAAAAGAACACGGACCTCATAAATTGTAAAACTGCACACAACCTGGAATCTCATAAAATTTAAACCACACTTATTATTGGTCAGATTTCTGATCTATTCCCATGAAGTTTGACGCAAAGGAGTGTATTTAACTTACGACATTACTTCGCCGTCAATATCTGGGATCTCCTTCCAAGATGGGGCGACATACTCGAAAGCGCCCGTGTAGTTAGACCTATTTAGCTGATGCATGAACTTTGAAACTGTTTTCATAGGGCTGTAACTTTCTTGAGGTCCAGGCCCTAGGGGTTCACTCGGTGTTTCTCCGGTAACACTTAATGTGAAGATTACCGCTACCAGAAGCAGCGCGACTTTTATCGTACGTGTTATACTCATTATGATCACTGAATGTTTTGGAAGTCAAGTCATTCAGTTAAACTTTCTCTAGCTTGCTCGTTTGTGTGTACTACGTTTCGAGCACCACATAATATATATATATAATATATATATGTATTTGTGCAGATATTCATTTGGTAGGTTTCTTCGATGCGAGGAGGCGCAGGCGCACAGCCACACTGCCGCACTCGTATAATTATTTTTTTTAAACTTTGCACTATGCACTGTACTATATACAAGGAGGTATCCAGGACAGGCTGAAAGAGTCAAAGAGTCCCCGGCACGCCAGGATCCGGATCGCCATGCGATGGAAAAATTCCGGCCGAAATTCCATTGTTTTAAAAAAAAACAAACAAAAAAAACAACAACAGACAGATATCACAGTCGATGCTTCGCAGCCTCGATCAGTCTATTTTGTATTTGTTTTATATTTAACAAAAAACTAATACACTCTGCCGGGTCTGCTGGTATTTCTTAGGATTTGTGCCATTCGACATAGCTACTTATTTTTAGCCTTGGGCCGGTTGGTCTGTGCCCGACCGCCCATTTATTACTGGTTTCATAGGGCGCTACTGGCCTACTGCGCTTACAAATATTTCTATGCATTTTGTTTTTTTAATAAAAATAATACGTAAATTAACCCTCGCTTGTTGTTTAAAAAAAAAAAGAATAGAAACAAAAACAAAAAGGAATTCAAAGCAAAATGGTAATACATTGTTTTGTTCTTTTTAAAAAACATATTTACTACACATGTCTAAATAATTTACTCATTCTAAATACTCATAGCCTTCTTCTGTTTTAATTTTTTTCTAAAAGAAGGCTATGGCTTTTAGCCTTCTGAAGAACACCTGTTCTTTTTATTTTTGCTCTTTTGTATAATAAACCCATCCATTTATTTACAAATGGGCTAAAAATATTAAGAACGCATCCGATTTATCTGAATCCGGAACCAACCTAATTCCCAATATTTCTTTCCATATTTTTTAGATTAGATGCGCATTCAGAAAAGGCACCATAGTCGTACCACCAGTTCACTGGGCCGGGTCAGGAGATCGACAATTCGACACTATGTCGAAAACCTCCAAAACCCGATCTAACGACCCGTGACACGTTTTTATAAATCTTTTATGACTTCCAGACGCTTTATTTAGTAGCCATACACCGATAAACAAGCATAATCGATTGTAGCAGTCTTCGAAGACCTATGTATTCATGCATGCATGTATACACGTGCGATATAGGTGTGTACAGATAAATTTACTGTATTATATTGAAGTTACTGGGATACGTATGTTATTATAGTATAACTTTATTACAACACATTAGATATATCTAAATGATACAAAACATACTTCAAGAAACCATACTTACTATGGGTCCTCAATTGATCCCTGTCAATCGATGGTCATTCAATGGGACATTCATTATGCCAGCGTACATACAACGCTAATTATATGTATATATATAGAACTTCTGTGAGTTATAAACATATATATTGAGTCGGATATATAAGACTCAAATCCTAACTATGAGCCCAAAATACATTACGGTTCGTATTTTGGCTGAATAATTATAAAAATATCTCAAAAGGGCACATGGCAAATATTATAATATATAGGCAATATACAATATAATAATAAAGCTACTTCTTTAGGAAATATATGTTCCAACAATATATCCGTGCACTTTCAAGCACTAGAAGTTTCTCTACGCACTAAGATATCGTACTTTTAACGCAGACAAAACCGAGTCAATTTTATATAACTTGGACCAGTTGTGCTACGAACATGGCGCAACAGCATGACGTCCTTTCTAACTTGCTTTTGGTTTGCCATGCATCTAAAACCAGACAAAAAAATATCGGGATTATACAACCCAATTCTAAAATTAACAATTATTAGGATGTGTTCATAGAAATCGATTCCCAATTTCCCATTTGTGTAATTCAAATATTCATTGTGAAAACTTAATTCATTTTACCATAGCCATGCCTATTTGTTAAAATAAAATAAAAGCTATCATAGGGCTGGAGTTAGGAGGCTTTGAATGAATATAAAAGACTTCAACTATTTTTATTTTTAGCGAAATATATTTATTATGTGAATACTTTCAAAAATGTTTTTGTTCAAAACTGTTTTTTTTTTAAAGAAACATTTCTTTACTATTTTAGTATTTTCACTGCATTCTTTATTTTTATTTTTAAAGCAATATGGATACCAACCATTGGTTGGAACGTGTATTTACTACATTGGCTAACGAGTAAACGACCGAGTGTAAAAATCCGTCCGTACATATTTTATTAATTTTTATTTAAAAAGCTTTTATCACAGAGTCAACGACACACGCTATTTTACAGTCACACCCCGAGACTCGAGTCACGAGATACGACACCGGAGCAGGCCTGGGAATCCATAAATATGGGAGCTCGTTGAAATATTCATAGAATATGGAATGTTTGGCTCCACCAGGCGTATCCATAATCCTATTTTTTCGGTCCCATATTATATATTAATATTTTTGAAATTCCAAGTCTATAGTATTTATTCCTGATTTCTATTTTTATGATGTTTCATTTTGTAGTAGCATATGCACAGCCGTATTATCATTTATTAGTATAGTTCGGTACTACGGTAACTGTAGACGAGTGTCAATGTGACAATTTTCAAGGCAAAAACATCACAAATTCACAATTTATAATTTTACATAGTTGTTGGGAATTACTATTCATTATACAACACACTTTACACAAACAAACTAATATTATCGCCTATTCGCACCATCACTATGGGGAAAGTTGTGAAGAAAGGCCAAAAGGTCAAGAAAGAAGAGCTAGGCATCTTGTATCGTAAATTGTTGCCCAAATCCAAGTGTGATTTGCAAGCACAAAGTGGACAGACGCGACTGAAGGACAAGCTACATGTAACTATTGCGTAGAGGGAACCGCTGGTTACGAGCAGTTACGAAAAAACGTATCGTGGAAGCGCCAACAATGTGATATCCCACTATAAAACAGTACATATGGACGAATGGATTAATGACATTAAGGCACATGTCGCACAGATAAAATCTCATCGTCCTGTACTGTAATAGCCGGGCCTCCACATTAAACACTATGTTGTAAACGTACTCTTAAGCAGTACGTAAATTATAAACGTACTCTTAATAGTACGAGGAACTTAAGTTTCCTAAATGGGTTTTAAAGGTTTTATTAATTAATATATTTTCCATTTTACATATCAGATATTTGGACAAGGCCATTTAAAAGACCCAGTAAAATACCAAACATAAGAGTTAGTCTAGTTCTATTAATAGAACTATATTTACTTTCCAACTATATTTATAACTGAATATTTCGGTAGCGAGATGGCTCAACCGAATATAGGTTTCTAGGGACTATTAACGTTACCTAGTTGATCCTCCGATCAGCCAACCAGATGTGCCAGTCTGATGAAGGCTGAGTCGGTAATTCTTGATAAGTGGCAAGTTATTGGCTAAGACAATAACTATGGACATCAAGAGTATTTTTACTTTTTTAATTTATTTTTTCTAAAGATAGGATTTGATGAGTTTCTCAGATTCGCCCCGACGAAACATACCATATTTTCTAAGAGAGCGACAACGAAACACTAAATAAAATCCCTTCGGCGGAAATAGTACTGAGAGGATTATATATAGGCAATGTCTCAGCCTCACAATCCCTCAGAGTATTGCTGTTTTCACGAGGCATACCTAACTTTACTAAAAGTCTCATTTTGTTTATTTGCTTTGATATTTTCACGATACTTAGAATTTACCTACGCGTTTAATTACTCTAAGGCGTTAATATCGCCTTAATAGACGGAATCTTACAGTGCAAGCACGCTTAAAGTTTAAACGGCTGGAAAACAATATCATAGGTACTTCTGCTTTCGAAACTTCGTACAAAGTTGCAAAGTTGAAAGCTGATCTGCAATGGAGCATCAACGTGTGTATGTACGACATGCCGCTTAGCTCAAGAGAAAAGGAAGGTATACGAGATTGGGTCGGTCTATGCAGACAAGGGCCGAATACTTTATCATCCTGTTATTCAACACCAGTCGCCAAGACAGTCAGAAGATACTTGCCAACTATCAAAGCTAGTATCAAGAAGGCGCCGTTGGAAATTTCGACTAAAGCACTAGCATTTTATCCAATAGATAAAATAGTGTAAGGTATAGCTACAAGAGTCTGTTTTTTCAACAGGAGTACAAAAGCAGCCGACATACTGGCTATGACACAAGAAGCAGCTGGTGAGGAGATAAAGAGGGCCATCACAAACAATTGTAAGACAAGGTGGACTGGTTTATATCGGATGTCCAAAAGAGACGACTTACTTGACTCTGCCGTTCAGTCTCTGATAGACGATCTAATTAAGAACGCCCCTGGTGGTTTGTTTGCTGGCAAAAAGGGGAAAGCGAGGAAGACAAAGTTACGATGCCCGCCGAATATGAAAGTGATGCGTAGACAAATGAATGGGATATTACGGCTCTTAATGCAGGCGCAGGTTGGCATCCAAGCCAAGCTTCTGACTTTGGCGGATGCTAACAGATTAGTTCAAACATGTAAGTTTGTTCTTCTGCCGGATATTCCTATTGAAGTTCAAATTATGTCTGGAATCAATTAAACAACCGAATTACATATGGAAACAGAATTACTGCCAACATGTAAGTTTGTTCTTCTGCTGGATATTCCTATTGAAGTTCAAATTACGTCTGGAATCAATTAAACAACCGAATTACATATGGAAACAAAATTACTGCCGGAGATAAAATCGAGGCGAACGCGGATAAGAGATCTGTTGTTTGACTATTTCCCTCGGAAGCCCACTAAAGAAGTACTTGCTAGCTATTATCTTCACTGTATGCACAAGAATATGGGTGGTTTGGAACTTGATGAGAAGAAGCTGAGAATGTCCGCAAAACATTGACATTGTTAATGAACGACCGAATAAAATAAAAATGAAGTCAAAGGCAGGCGTTACATCTATACTAGCGTCAGAGTTGTCAAATAACACAACCCAATCGGTATCTAGTTCAGGAATACAGCCCATGGATACAGATGTAGATGTAGGTGAGGATATAAAAGATCGACGCAGACGTCTATTGGAGAGGAGACGATCAGGAGCAAACATCGATAATACCATCAGCACAATTCCTACACGAACCTCTACATACAAACAACAAGAGTACATTTTGGATATGAAAAAAAAGATAGCTGCAGAATTGGTCATAAAGAAAAACTTGCCTGTTGAAGGTGCCAGATATGAGAGTGATACAATTACCAAAGGTAAAACCGTAACACTTATAAAAAAGGAGATGGATCCTAGTCAGTAAGCCCTTCAATATTCGAGAGATCACAAGATACAGATGACTACCTTGTATACGATAGCTATGATCTCTTTTGACATCGTTTCTACATCTTGTCGATCCGAGAGTATGTTCAGCATGTCTGGTCTTTTGCAGAAAAAAAAACATTCGAAGATTTTTGTTTTATAAAAGGAAACAGTCATTTATACTTCCGGGTCTTTCTGACAATATGGATGAAGTGCGATCATCTCTTTTATGAACAACCTAAGGATACTACACCAGGACGACCCGAAAAGGCCATGGAAGAAAACAACTAACAATAAACAACGGTATATACAGATAACATACCATGCAGAATCCAATAAGTGGAAGGTGTGAAAGCTAAGAATCCTTAATGGATTGTTCTGTATAATGTTCTGTATTTACTTGTAAAATAGATTGATAAAATGCAATAAATTAGTATACATATGAATGATATCGTATTGTTAGTGAACGCGTTCATAAACACATACACTCATGTATACATGTGCATACATACGTGTACAGACATGTAAAAACACATACACTCATGTATACATGTACATACATACGTGTACACACATGCATAAACACATACACACATGTACACACATGCGTAAATACATACACTCATGTATACATGTGCATACATACGTGTACACACATCCATATACACATACACACATGTACACCTGTGTTTACATACGTGTACACACATGCGTAAACGCATACACTCATGTATACATGTGCATACATACGTGTACACACATGCATAAACACATACACACATACACACCTGTGTATACATGCGTGTACACACATGCGTAAACACATACACTCATGTACACCTGTGTATACATACGTGTACACACATGTGTAAGTCTCGGTCTATCAAGACGATATTAACGCCTTAGAGTAATTAAACGCTTAGGTTAAGTCTAAGTTTAATTAAATTCAATGTCAAAATGAGTCTTGTAGTAAAGTTAGGTATGCCTTGCGAAAACAGCAATACTCTGAGGGATTGTGAGGCTGAGACATTGCCTATATATATAATCTTCTCAGTACTGTTTTCACCGAAGGGATTTTATTTAGTGTTTCGTTGTCGCTCTATTAGAAACTATGGTATGTTTCGTTGGGGCGAATCTGAAAGACTCATAAAATTCTATCTTTAGATAAAAAGAAAAGAAAAGAAAATACTCTTGATGTCCATAGTTATTGCATTAACCAATAACTTGCCACTTATCAAGAATTACCGACCTAGCTTTCATCAGACTGGCACACCTGGTTGGCTGAACGGAGGATAAACTAAGCAACGCTAATAGTCCTTAGAATACCGAAGTATTCAGATATAAATAGATTTGGAAAGTAAATATAGTTCTATTAATAGAACTAGACCAAATCTTATATTTGGTATTTTACTGGGGCCTTTTAATGGCCGTATCCAAATATCTGATATGTAAAATGGAAAAGGTATTAATTAATAAAACCGTTAAAACCATTTATGGAAAACTGAGTTCACGTACTTTTAAGAGTACATTTTACGTACTATTAAGAGTAGGTTTATATTATAAGATTCTAATGTGGAGGCCCGGCTTTTACACAGCCCCCACCCAGCTTTGAGACCCAGGAGAAGCAAGTTGCTCACTCAAGCTGATTATGGGTCAAAAAGAACGGGTCGAAAACATTAAGTAGCATAACGTATAGTTAATGTTTCTCAGGCGGAGAAGTTAAGCGTTCTCGGTTACCCTGTGAGTTTTGGGTTTAGGTCCAGTAGGTCCGTGGTGGTCGACTGGACTTTTCTTACACTTCAATGTTTTAGGAATACAAAGGATGAGCAGTAAAGCTCGGGATAAATGCTGTTGGCGGGTAAGTTTTAACTTCCGTGCCTTCAGACGATGGGACCATGCTATCTTTTTCAGCCTGTGACTTATGTAGGCGTTTACGCCGTTTTCTGTTAAAGGCCTTTAAATAGTCCTGATTGTCAAAAGCGTCTGAAGTTAACTCAGCGATTGTACCGTCTATAAAGCGTGTACGATAATATGTATATCCTCCTTTATCCGTTCTCCATATAATATCTTTGAATTCGGAGCGGTCAAGAGGTGCAGTAGAATCATGTCTTCTTGCGAGAATAATCTCAGTAGTCGGAATTCGACTAGTGCCTATATTTAAAGCACTAGAACCGTCGAAGTTATTAACTTCATAGGTTCCACTTTTAGTGTCGGTTACAGAGGTTATATGTGGTCCTATCCATTTCGATGTTAGTACAGTAGCATCGGAATTACGTTGACGGATGTTAACTCTGTCTCCAACCTGATACTTTGCTATCTTTTTGTTAGCATTCCATCTATTTTACCTTTTTAATAAGGCCACATTACGTGTCTCTCGCAAGCAAGGATATACAACGTTGTGTATGCGTTGTACCTTCTCTCACCATGGTAACTCATGGTGATCAAGCTCGTCCTTGTTAAAGGGTATTTGTATCTCACTATATCTGCCACGAAAATAGTGAGCGGATATAGTTCCTGTAGCCAGATCAGCACACTTGTTCATCTGTGTTTGTACCCACTTAAGGTGGTACGGCCAATCATCTGCATCATCCGTTAATGCAGTACGTAAGAAGAACTTAAGTCTTCTGTGGCGGGTTTCATTAGCGCCTTGTGTTTGCGGTTTATATGGTACACCCCTTTTATGGCACATGCCTGATACGAGTACTAACGATTCCATTACGTCATCGCAGAACTCGTTACCATTATCAGTGCACATTATACCTGGCAACCCGTGGTCAGCAAAGACTTGGCAATATAATTCTGCCACGGTCTGCGTACTCTTGTCCTGTAAAGGATAGAGCAAGTTATACCGTGACGCCACATTAAAGAAGTGGTATACGTAACGGTCGCCTGTGTCCTCGGACGTAGGCAGGTCAACCAGATCAACGATGACCCTGCGCCATGGAACATCTTCAGTCACACTCTTAAGCGGTGCGAACCCATAGCGCTTAATCTGGTTGAGATCACAGTCTGTACATGACTGATATACTCTGTCAACTAAAGTTGCCAGCTTAGGGTGCGCGATCCCATTTCGCTTAGCATCTTTAAGAAGTGCGTCTACTACGTTCTGGTGCTTTAACTTATGGTTTTGCGTCAGCCAAGCAAGAATGTTTTCATCATTCTGCTTCTCCAGAATAAAGGTAGGGTGTTGAGAATCCACTTGCGTGGTTCCTAAGTCTGTAGTGTTTCCAGACTCATGTCCTTCTTTCGCATGAGAGTCATGAGTGCGCTCGTGTGTGTTTGATACACCTGACTTATGTAATAGTCGCATTATATGTGTATATGCTTCGGGGTTATCTTTCATTAATCCCTTTAAAAATAGGGGTTGAAAGACTTCGGGCTTGGACTTTATGCTATTAAACAGAGTCCTAGCTAGAGACTGACGCTTCTTAACTGTAGAGTCATTAGTAGATTATATTTCTTGTGCACAGACTTCAAGTGCTGTGTTGCCTTTGAACTGCTTAACGTTCAATCTAGTAGAGAGTGGAATCTCTGATTCTTTGACCTTGTTAAGGAAGGTCTCAGAAGGGGTCCATTTGGTTGTTCCAATGGGACCAATACGACATATTGTAGTATGTCTCCAGGGTGTCATATGGACGGCTCGGGTACCCTGATATAGGAAAGTATCTACTTCCCTATCTAAATATATTGGCTCGCATTGTATCATGCCTATTAATTTATTGAGCCAAGGATCTTTGCTCCGTAATGGGCGACACAACGTGATGGTAGCTTTGTGTATATGAAGATAATATAATAATTGGGCAATTAACTGCCATGGTGGATTAGCCCACGCATTATGTTTGGAGAGGTCTAGTTGAAAGGCATCTCCCAAAGGATGATTTAAAGTCCTGTAATTCTTAAGTTGTGCATTATGATGTGCAGCAAACATGTCAATTGTATGTGGCGCAAATATCTTTTGAGCCAGTTCAAACCACCTGGGGTTACATTTCCAATCAGTGGCTAGTAACTCACGTACGGATTTATTAAAGTCCGGTACGAAGCGTGATAACATATCCGGTAAATGGTTATGTATCCCTGGTAGATGTTTGATATCAAAATGAAACTTTGATATTGTATCAAGCCATCGGCTCAGAAATTGAGAGTCTGGCTTCATTTCCTTCATATATTGAAAGGACTTCTGATCACGCATCAGCGTGAAAGCTGTTCCGTATAAGTAATCGCGGAAGTATGTTAAAGCTGCTACTATGGCTAGTAGCTCTTGCTTCACAGTTGGATAATTCAACTGTGATGCATTCATTGGTCGGCTAAAGAATTGTATATACCTAGGTTTATTATCTATAACCTGGTATAGTACACCTTCGAGTGCTAAGGTGGTCTTTGTACAACAGGGGCTTGTTGGACTGCGTGCTTGAGTGCTTTAAATGCGTCATCACACTCTTTAGTCCACAAGTCTCCTAGTTTGCCTTTATGACATCTTAAGTGACCAAAGTGTTTAAGATAATCAGCCAAGTGTGGTACTCCATCTGAAAAGAAGTTTACAAACCCACACATGCTGTTCACATATCTTCCTGTAGTTGGTGTTCGCCAATCTAACAGGTGTTCCACCTTACCGGGGTCGATTTTAATACCTTCCCCAGATATACGATAGCCTAAGAGCTGTGTTTCGCTCATGGCGAAGCGACATTTCTTCTCGTTAATCTTGAAGTTTTGTTCAATGAGTCTCTGAAGGACTTGCCTGACTAATGCGGCATGTCCGCCCTTAGTTTTAGAAAAGATGACTATGTCATCTATATAGACTTGCACGTTAAGCATGTCTGCAAACATTTCCTCCAATACTTGTTGGAAGAATGCTGCTAAGGAGTGCAACCCGAAAGGTGCGCCTCTGAACCTGTATTGTTTACCTTTCCAGGTAAAACTAAAGTACTTACGATGGGGTTCATAAATTTGCATTTGATGATACCCCTGTGTTAGGTCTATGGATGTAAACACCGTAGCACCTTC